AGCTTTGGTTAGAGATGTATAGGGCTGAGGCCCAGGCACCCATTGTCTCAGGCAGTGCACTTGGACTGAGGGGGCTCAGTCAGATAAAAAGAGCAGAAGGCAAGAAGGCTGAAGCCCAGACAAGAGTTTGGGACCTGAGGAGCCCAGGGTTTATTTGGGACTGAGAGATTTCTCTACCAGGAACAAATGAGAGTCATCTGAGGCATGGGCATGACTATGGGAGCAGCTGGAGGTTGTGATTTTAGACCTTAAGGTGACTAAAACCATCTTAAAGAGGGGGTACACCCATAGCACGAGGACAGAGACATAAGAGGCATCAAGTAATAGGCTATCCCAGCCACTACGGGCATCCTCCCCCTAATATATGCAACATCAAATCATAGCAAGCGAGGCAAAGGAAGCCGTGGAACTTGGGCAGGCCAGTCTGGCCACTAGGAGCACCAGGGTGGGGAAAACTTACCAGCTGGTCACACTTACCAGTACTTGCATTAATAGACATTAAGAGTAACCAGGGCAACAAAGTTGTGGATCATTCGAGAACAATCCCAATGCTTTTAATTTTCAGAACAATGTGCTGGTGAAAAATCTGTTTGCATATCAACACTTGAATACAGGTATCCATCTGAAAACAAAATGCTATCTGTTCAGAAATATCATGTTTGGGTAGAGGCATTGATGCCTTGTGTCTCAGTACTCAACTTCCATCGAATTCTACATTTCAGTGGGAGCTGGGCATCTTTGAGCCTCCACTGAATAGTATCAGTTTTGGACTGTTCTTTTGGTTTGTTATAGGAAGCAGGCATTCATGGTTTAGTTTTTTACTAAAGACCATTTTTTTCTGTGGAAATGAGCAAATAGCATGTGGCTGTGCCAAGATTTTAAAAAATTCAAATCTGAGTATATCACAGTTCAAGAAAGAAATGCTCAGAGGTTATGTGATTATGCATGTTACATCTAATGAAGAACAGAGCCATGTGCTTCCAAAGTTAAATAACTTAAATGCTGAAGTAAATGTCTACTTCTGTGCCAAACAACTTTATTGTTTCACAGGTAACATTGCATTTAAAAATCCCTTTGACTTGTGGGTATTGGAAGAGCAGGAGCAAAGAGTTTGCTTGTGGCTGAACACAACTTGTCCTGCTATGGCATTTTATTGCAACAAGTAGGCCACATCCCCACAAGGGGCAATGTGCAGTTTGTGGTGCCTCAAAGGCTTTTGAGGAGCTGCAAAACGCAAATGGTGCATGTTAATCTGTTTGCTGTGCTACATATTTGAAATCCCAGTATCTAAAAAAAAAAATGCACCAAAAAAAAGTAGTGTGGTGCATGTGGCAGCAGCATGCACCACCCAAAACCGAAGCCTGGCCAGCCAGAGCCATGCTCCTGCTGCCAACCAGGCTCTGTGTGCCTAGATTGCTGCTGCTGCAGCCTTGGGAGGCCCCTAGATCTTCAAGGAAGGCTGCTGTGTCCAGCCCAGATGCTGGCCCCAGCTTTCCTTACCCCACCCAAGGCAATTTGCTGCATGCTACAGTGTGGATGCAGGGGCATGCCCAGGTACAAGTAGCAATGGCACAAATACGTGCATCTACTATTTGTCCCTGGGGAAATGCACATGCATGCTCGTGGAATGCTCCTGTGGTGTGTTTTTTTTTCCTGCAGGCATTTTAGGCATTGTGCATAGCAAGACACAAAACAAGAAGCTATATAACCACACTAGCAAGAATCTGTATAGAAACTAGATATTTTAAATTTGAAATAGGAAAAAAGATAAAAAAGAAAAAGGACACTTCTTCCTCCTCTTCCCCAGAGTCTAATGACTCCAGAGGCAAGACATGCATTGGGTTTTGTCTGGTGTTCCAGAATATAGCATCTTTAGATCCCCGTGCATCATTCTGCTGTGATGTCTAGAAAAGCACATTGAAAAGCCACACTAATAATGACATTATTCTTTGGAGGAGGGAGGTAGAAAGCAGGAGGGAAGGCTTCCATGTTTGTCTTTGTGACTTCCATATCTGACAAAGAGATGTTCTTACAGGCTGAAATGAGTCTCAACCTAGGGCCTCAAATCTGCTCTTTTTGGCTGGTATCTTCATCAGTGTTTGCTCAGCTAATTGCACTGCCAATAACGCTTATGTAACTCACTATTTTCTCTGGTGTTTCCTGAGAATTATAGGTAGGGATCTACTTAAAACCTCCCACGACTGACTGGTCAAGGAGCCCCAGCAAACCTGCTGCTCACTGCTGATCGGCTGGCAAGCAAAAACTGTGGCCTATTTAAAGCCTTGGTCTTTGCCTCCCAGCCAATCAGCAGCAAGTGGCAAGCAGCCAAGGCCCCTGGAGTCCCTCTGTCAATCAGCAGCAGGCTAGGTGTGCGGTGAAAAGAGCAAAATTAAAGGAAATGCTCCACAGCACACTTCTGGCCCAATTTAGGTAGATCCCTAATTATAGGCAGAATTTGACCCTGCAGTTGAAATTAGGTGATAATGCATGAATCAGAAGAGAAATTGGCTCATTCTCCCATAGCTGTATCAACTCTGCATTGCCAACTGTTGTAAAAAACAGGCAAGTTTTTTAGGTGGTTAAAAAAATCATAATCTGACAGGGAAGGGAGTCCAAGATGTGTGGTCACTCCTTAAGGACATGATGCTAAAAGCACAAGGGAAGTCCAATCCAGCCCACAGGAAAGGTAGTAAAAGGTCTGGGAGCTCATGGACCTGTAGGGAGTGGACCAGAAAACCCAAGGTCGAAACTGAGCTCAAACTTGCTATGGGAATCAAGAACAATAAAAAGTCCTTCTTTAGATATGTGGGAAGTTGAAAGAGAAATTAAGGCAACATTGGACCCCTGCTGAATCCAATGAGGCAGCTGACATCCGACACCCAGGAAAAAGCTAATTTCCTTAATGATTACTTGGTGTCAGTTTTTCACCATTCCTGCCTGACAGGACACGGGATTACGAGGGTACAGGTGACCACACACCCAAATTTCACCAAGACCTTGTGAGGGAACACCTTGAGAGGCTGGACATCCACAAGTCAGCGGGCCCTGATGAAATGCACCCAAGAGTGCTAAAAGAATTGGCTGACATCATAGCATGACCAATGGCAAGGATATCTGAGAACTCGTTGTGCTCAGGGGAGGTTCCAAAAGATTGGAAGAGGGCCGATGTGGTGCCTATCTTCGAGAAAGAAAGGAAGGAATATCTGGGGAACTACAGGTCAGGCAGTTTGCTCAATCCCTGGAAAGATCAGGGAAAAATTATTAAAGAATCCATCAACAGGCTCACAGAAGGAGTCATTCTGAGATACAGCCAACACGGCTTCATTACCGGTAGGTTGTGCCTGACCAACCTCATCTCCTTCTATGACCAGGTGACACATCACCTGGGCAGGGGAGGAGAGGGTGTTGTCATTTATCTGGATTTCAAAAAAGCCTTTTATTTGATCTCCCATGATGTTCCCATGACAACATTGGGCAACTGCAGCCTCAACAACCTTACGGTCCAAGGGCTGGGGAACTGGTTATGTGGTCAGACCCAGAGAGTGATAGTCAATGGAACCAAATCAACATGGCACATAGTGACCAGTGGCATCCCTCAGGGTTCAGTACTCAGACCAGTACTCTTTAACATAGTCATAAACAAGCTTAATTCATGTATCAGAAGCAGATTGGCTAAGTTTGCAGACAACACCAAATTATGGGCATGCGTGGTCACACTAGAGGATAGGTTGGGGATTCAGGCCAACTTGGACAGGCTCGCAAAGTGGGCTGGTCAGAACCCCATGACTTTCAATGTAGAGAAACACAAGGTGCTCCACCTCGGGAGAAAGAACCCACATCATACCTATAGGCTCAACAGTGTTACACTCACTAGCACTATGATCGGAAGAGACTTGGGAGTCATGACTGACCACAAGATGAATACAAGCCACCAATGCGATGCTGCAGCTGGCAAAGCAAATAAAACCCTGGCTTGCATGTACTGATGCACCTCAAGCAAGGCCCAAGATGTCATCCTCCCATTATATTTGGCCTTGGTGAGGCTGCAGCTGGAGTACTACATCAGGTTATGGGCTCCACACTCAAGAAAGAGTGTGGAGAAGCTTGAGAGAGTCCAGAGAGGCACATGCATGATCAGAGGTCAAGAGACCAGGCTTTAGGAGGAAAGACTGAGAGGCATGGGACTCTTCAGCCTGGAGAAGCTGGAATAGGCTCAGGGGAGATTTGGTGGCAACCTACAAGTACATCAAGGGTGTGCATCAGGACCTGGGAGAACATCTGTTCACCAGGGTACCCCAAGGGAAGACGAGGTCCGACAGTCACAAACTGCTGGAAGACTGTTTTAGACTAGACATAAGGAAAAACTTCTTTACCATCCGATTATCCAGAGTCTAGAATAGACTCCCCCCAGACATGGTACAAGCACCTACTCCGGGCATGTTCAAGAAGTGTTTGGATGATTATTTTGCTGGGGTCATCTGACCCCAGCTGACTTCCTGCCCTTTGGTCTTCCTACCCAATGATCTTACGAAGTCCCTTCTAGCCCTAATGTCTCAAATCTATGAAAGCTGGAAGCTATAACTTGTAATATATACACTAGGGAAGTCTGACCTGGGGAGAAGATCAGTATAAGGCCTATATACCACTGAGGTGCCTTTTTTTTTTTTTTTTTTTACAACCATGGTTAGTCACTGTAGAAAAGGACTTTTTAAAGGACTCTTAAAAGTTATCACTTGTGTCTAGTTTTTTTTGATCTTCCTTGTAATGAATCTGGATCAAAAAATAACATTCCCCAAATACAGATATTCAACTAAGACACTCATTCTCAATGTTTAAAACAGATTTTCAAATCACAGAACACATCTTATGGTAGCAGTTGTTTGCACTGGACATAACATGATTTTAGCTCCTTTAAGTGTTATTATTACTGCTTTATTTCCTGTCTTTAGGAACAGCAAGTTAAAGGTCCATGCAACTTTATTAACCAGATAGCACCTTCATAGTATCAAAAAGAAAGTCATTATTTTATTATGATCATAGTCAAGTCAGTACAGGAAAAAAATTGCATAAGTTGTTTAAGTAAAAATAGATCAGTAAAAACTCATATTATACAGTAAGAAAATGTAGCCGGATGGAAGTGTTTTTTTTTCCTTTTAGAGAAAAAAACTATTACATATAGTATGGTTTGATAACCTATATCTATATGTATACACAAAGCCAAAACTCTTAGCCATATACTTCCTCTTCCTATGTGGAAGAGAACTCAGAACATGCACAGGCCCTTAATTCTGAATCTAGGGTTGGGGGGAAATGTGTCCTGTTCCTTTTGCATCACAGAACTGCCAGTATTCATACTATGTGAACAAGTCAGCAAAGTCCTACATAGTCAAAATAGTGTGAGATTTGGATAAAGTGCAAGGAAGCATGGAATAAATATGCTCTATATAGCATAATTCATCCCAGGAAATAGCATAACCAATAGATCACAAGCAACAGGACAACCTCTGTTCTCAGTAGCAGTAACTATTATCATGGGATCGGTAGCCTTCATCAAGAGACTCAACCACTGCATGTCATCCAACATGGCAGATGTACTGCTAATGCTTGGTTAAGGGGAGTAAAGGGTGTAGTGATTATCTGTGTTACACTTGTGTGGCTCAGATCCAGTGGGCTAGTGAATATGTCTGTACATCACAAGATCTTAGTCATTTGGTAACTCTGCCCCTACCAGGAGGGAAGGATGTAGCATCTGGAAAAAAATGTAATGGATCTTGTCAGGTAAGATCTCCCCTTTACAAGGGAAGGGGAGAGCATAGTTCTAAATGTTTATGTACTATTAATAAAAAAAGACAAAATAACTTGGAATCTGTTTAAACACTTCAATAAGTTTCTTTCTGATCCTAGCTGTATTTCCCTACAGTAAAAACCTGAGCTATTAAAAGAAAATGTAAAAAAATAATACTTCTAAGGATCCTAAGAGCTGAGTCTTAGATGTACATTCCCCAAATTTTACTGCAGTCTATTCAGAAAAGGGGAGGGGGGTGGAGGGTGGGTTTCTGACCTTCCAAATAAAATTATAGTGACTAACTATTGCATTTAATGGTGCATAAAGAGCAAAAGGCTATTTTTACCCAAGTTCTGAGGTAATAAACTGCTTTCTTTAAAACGTATTGGTGCAAATTATTCAGCCAAAGAACCTTTAGTAACTTCCCTGATGTGGAAAGAAACTGAACAACAGTCTGTGGCATACTAAATTGTAAATAATATCATAGTTCGTCGTGGTTTTTTGTGAGGTCTTCCCCATAATTGGTAGCTTGGCTTCCAACAAACATGTTCCAGTTGTCTAGAATCTCCTCTTTGGTTAACTTTTGATCCTACAAAAAAAAAAACAACAACAAAAAACAAAAACAAGTATCTATTATTTTTAATACGTATATACTGTAATACTTGTTTAAATGCTATAGTACGGAATTCTCCAAGGGAAGAGGTAACAGGTTTAGGGATCAGTGGCTGAGACGCTGGTTGTATTGGAATTCAGTGGCATAGCTCCCATTGGATTCAGTAGAGTCAAAAAGGTCAAAGTATTCTGAAATGAAGGCTGCTTTTAATCTTTACAGACATTAAAAATAGACACTTTACTTCAAACTGCTCGCGCTGATCCCAGAGCATGCCTAGAAGAGACACTGTATTAGTTGGACACAGCTTGCCCAATGTCTGTATAGATCAGGTGCTTTAGTGGGGCCTTTTGGGTGCTTTTATTTAATAGCTGATTGAATGAACTATTAGGTAAAAGTGCCAAAAAGCCCTACTGAAGTGCCTGATTTATATAGATGCTGCAGAGCTGGGCCAAATGCACTGCTGCTTCTGGTAAAGCATGTCTTTTTTTTTTTCCCAGGTCTGTCAGCAGCCTAACTCATCAAATGATTTATCAGCAATAAGAGCATGCCATTTGTCTGCATGCACAACTTCATGTATGTTTTTAACTTTCCTTTCTGAGTATTTATATGGAAATCTTTTGTCTGGGTTGATAAAGATGCTCAACTAAAATTAAAATGAAACAAAAAATTCATCTCTATATATGGGAGTCTTGATTCATCAGATTTAAGCAGTGGAATGTCAGCTGGACCAGCAAGGGCAAAGGCACCCCTCCTGCATCTGCTGATAATTAGTATCCTTTCCTGACAGATGCTGAATGGATGGGTCAGACCTTAATCCACAGATGTATCCTATTTCCTACAGTCTTTTTACAGCTTTTTATTAATTTACTGATATCTTATTTGTTTATTACAGTTTAATATAGAAAGGTCTGTGACACCTTTCCAAAAAAGAAGAAATGGTTAGAAATTCTGATGTGGAAAGCTAATTTTCTACTAGAAGGACACCAACAGATTTACCTGACCTAAGGATATAGTATTTTGTCAGCTATTATTTGTGGTCTCCAGTTTTATCTACTCAAATTTGTATTGCTGCATTAAAGCATTAGCAAGCCCATTTAGGGAATACTAATAAGAAAAGTCATGAAGAATCATTCCTTGCTGGTTGACATTATATAAAAGGAACCAATTAAACACTTAATCTAACATTTATGAAATATACCAGAACATTAAGTACCTTGTCTACATCTGATTCATAGACTAAGTGCCTGGCTTCAGCTTGTGCATGATCATAGTCTTGTGGGAGAATCCAGTGCCGAATCTCTTCTTTGTCCATTTTTCCATCCTTGTTTAGATCCCGGAAATCTGAAAACTGCTCACGTTCAGTAACTACCCAGTCAGGTTCTGGTCCACCCTCCTCATTTGCAAACATATCAGCTGGAGGAGAGATCAAGGTTTGAAGTCATGTTTAGTTAGTGAATTATATACAGTCCTCCAAGATACTTTAGCCAAATACTAAAAGTATCACACTTGTAGTTTGTGTAGGACTTCTGAGAGTAGTAAAATGGGGTGTATGGTGGAAGATGTGCGTTTGTACACTTCCTGTTCCACTAAAATGTTTTCACCATTGATGGTTTTATCCATTATTAAATTACCTTTTCAGTACACAAGTGGAAGACAAGGGAAGTTAATGGGCATGCCCAGGAAAGTGAACTGGCCCTAAGGATGTCTTCATGCAGGGTGTACACATAAGGAAGTTTACAGGATCTCTCTCAAACTGCAATCATGATCCTTCAAGTCACACTCAGACATATGGGGGGTGAGGGAGGGGAGGTGGGAAGAATGCACAGCAGCACTATGTCTTGTCCCTGCTAGCAAGTGTCTTTATGGATAACCATCAGAACTCAGCAAGGAGTTGGTGAAGGAGTAAAAGGCAGAGGGAACTAAAGAAAATAAAAATCCGCTAAATGAAACTAAGTGAGCATTGTTCTGCTTTTAAAGAGAGCTGTATAAGAAAAATACATCTAAGTCAATAGATTAATTTTCAACTTCTCAGGTAGAAACATGTTCAAATGGAAGATAAAGAAGTGTCCCAGGCTGGGAAAGGATTAACAGGTCTGAGGCAGCCTGAGCTGCTGAACATCACAGCAATAAGTGCACACGCTCTGGGCACATCTACACATGCTATTAATGCACATGAATAAATTCCAGCACAGTCAGCACCAGAGTTAGCTGCTTCCCAGGTGCAACATCTTCATGTGTGTCTGGGACCACACCAATTTGAACCAGGGCAGAGCAGTTCCAGTTGACAGGGGAACCAGGGGGTCAGCCTGTGAGCATAGCACTGCTCCTCACCCCCCGCCCTCCAGCTCAACATGCTACAGAGGGTGTGGCCGGGGCACAAAGGTGCTACACTGTGGGACTAGGCATCAGGCAGCTCCCCCCTCACTGTAGCATCCTTGTGCCTGAGCCAGCCCCGGTCAGTCTACATGTTTCAGCACACATAATTATTCCACTGTAGGACAGTACTTGTCCTGGACAGTACTATAGTGCAGTAGAGTTAATTCACTTACTGCACCCTAATATGGGAACATGTGACGACTGTAACACTTTACTGCACAGCTAATTAGTCAACGAAGTAGTAGAGTGCATATGTAGATGCACCCACTGTGATCTTGACAGAGCCCATTCTTCTGAAACCCAGATTTGGGACACTGACAGCGGATGGAAGATGAATTCTGTTGTACAAGAGCTGCGCTACACACCAAACCATGCTGCAGGCAAAGCTATATTCCTGACCAACCCAGTCAGAAGGAAAATACCATACTGAAAGCTGTCATTTGTGTGAGGAAAAAATAAGGGGAGCTGTAGGTAAAAAAGGAGTGGTGATATAAAGAGGAGGTATTAACTCAGGAAAGCTCTAGAGGACAGTACAGGCCTTTCACATTATTTTTTTTTCTGTAGCATGAAATTCAACTCTAGAGGAGTATTAGTTTTCTCATTCCTCTTGCCCTCTCCCTCGTCCTCAGCTGGGCTCCTTTTCCCCCAAACCCACCACCTTCGTGCTTACAATGTAAACCTGTTTTGTAGCTGACATTCCTCATCCCTTGTGGATTTGGTTGCCAAGGAAGTGCTGGCAACAAGTGCACACTATTTACGTGTTCCTAAGTCTCTATCAGCTTGGAGACCAGGGGCCAGCTGGCAACTGAAAGAGGTGCAGATGCAACCCTCTTCAGGATATGGTCCAAAATGAGCAATAAAAACCACATGCGTCCATACAGCTAACCTGGATTCTCCACTACTATAACTGCCCTAAAATGAATGGAGCTATCAGGACTCTGGTCCACTCTGGTCAAAAGGTGAAATGTTTGACTGGGAAGATTTGAGCCCTACACTTTTTGGGGGTCTGATCATTGCAGGAATCTCCATGGTCTTCAGCAGACTTTAGATCAGTCTCTTGTTTTGGAAAAAGAGATGGTAGTGTCCATGCTTGCCTGTTTGTTTATTTTATTCTAGGCAAAGATAAAATATGGATATACCTTACTGCAGCCATGGTTTAGTGCCAAAAAATTTGCTATTACCTTCGCACAAAGATAATTTAGGTACATTTTTCCCCCAACTGTTCAATAAAACTTCAGGTACCACCTTTTTTCCCCCAAATGCAGACACACAAGTTCTATATTGTTTATTTGAAGCAACTGACATGTCCTGTCAATTTGATTTTTATCATCCTTGCCAATGTGATGTGGTCGTGACTAGAACACTCCACTCTCCTATCTATAGAAGACAAGAGGAACCAGCATTCACATGGTAACAAATGTTGACAACTACCTTATAATTATACGTAGGTAGTGTCACAGAGTGAACAGAAATTATTGGGGAAATTATGCTGCACTGTTATTTCAGTCATAAATGAAGAGCATTTACATTTTAAGGCTAAATATAATTTACAAGGAATAGAAAATCCCTGCCATTTAATTAATGTGTATATATTGCTCTTGACTGTATTTGAAGGGATCTTTAAGGTAGTATCAGAAACAGAAAGATTCATCAGAATTTAGTCTAATACTTTTATGATGGTATATTTCTTTTTTTTAAGCAATCACCAAGGGAGTGACATTTCACACAGGCAAAATACACTGTGCTGCTGAACTCCTGGATTGTGCCTTCAAGGATCCAAGGGCATGACCAAAGTTTGACCAAATTAACTCACTGTGATTGATTTACTGTTCATGCTTCCTGCTCTGCTCCCTTTGTGTCACCTGAATGATGTGCTGGTGACCTTAATTCAGGCACTTCAGAATTACTGAGTCCTTGACTTTCCAAACTTAATGGTCTTTTAACAAAGTTTCTTTGATGTAATTCCTAAGGAGGGTGGTAGGGGGGCGTTGTTTAATTTGAACTGTAAAATCAAAAATTCCATTGAGTGGAACTAAACTGACCCTTCCACAAATCATCACTAGAGCTGGTATTTTTAAACTCATGGCAGAATTTCCTATCACTTGAGCTCACAAAAGAACTGGCAGCAGTAGAAGGCTGTTAGCTGCTACACGGAGATGACACTAGACATGCACTGAGGCACACACTTTGCTGGTGGGTTTCACAGCTATTTCCTAGATACAGAGGAATGTTGAAACTCAGGAATACTGGTTTCACTTCCAGTTTCCTTAGCCCAGTGTGTTCTGGTTGTTACAATTCCTTCTGCTCCTCAATACATTTTGCTGCTATCCTGCTTGGCTCATACCTGTTCCCCACCCCTGCTTCTGGCCTGCCCCTCTCTTCTGGGTTCCCACTTCTGCCTTCACATCCCCTCCCTTATTTCTAACTATTCCCCTTCCTCTGCTTCTGTTCTTTTATGTCCTCCTACTTGTGTTTCTTCCCCTTACAATTGGTTCCTACAATAACCAATTCCCACGCTCTTCCCTGTTCTCCTACCCTCCTCCATCTCTGGCTCCTCCCCATGCCCCCCACCCCACTCGTGTTCTTATTCCATTGTCCTCTAACCCCCGTTCTTCTGTTTTCCCCGACACATCCTCCTAATCCCTTGTCCCAAGTTCCTATCCAAATATTCTAAAATAGGCATGTCAAAATCACCTCCTGCCCTGAGCCATTCCAGACCGTGGGACTCCTTGTGGCTGGGATCCAGCCCAAGGCAGAGACTGGCACAAGCCCAGGACCTGTAGTCACAGTGGCAGCTCTGGTTCTGGCCCAGGGCATGCAGTGGCAGCAGCACCTCAGGGCACATGGCTCTGGCTCTGACCCTGGTGAAGCCAGTGACAGAGGAAGAAGCAGTGTGCAGGCCAAGTAGCTGCTTGCCACAGAAGTCGTGGTGGTAATGGGAAAAGCAGCCACAGGATGACCAGCACTTCATCAGCCTTTGCTCAGCCTCCTATTGCCAGTCACCACATCCCCTGGGGCCCACAGGCTGGATCCAGCCTATGTCGTGTATGTTTGACACCCATGCTTTCAGATATACCATCCACTGTTCTTCACCCCTCAGGCTACTTCTCAGGAATAGTTACACTTCCCAAAAATCAGCCCTAGGCTGACACCAAGATCATTTTGGCCCAAAACATTTAAATTTGGTAAACTTATAAGCAACAGAAAAGCAGGCTTCTATAATGGAAAGTATTGGGTAGCTTTTAGTCTGGTTTCACTACCTCACTAAAATTAAACAAAACTTTGTTCACTTCAGACAATGGGATAGCTACACAAACTGTATCTTTGTGCTGTTAATATTAACTTAAACCCAAAAGGAGTGGTCTATAACTGTCTATGTGTTTCTTGTTAAATGTTAACAAAAGTCAAAGAAACCCTCATCCAGCACTTACCGATGTACTCATCTTGATCCACAAATCCATCCTCATTTTTGTCAATATCTTGCAGCGTTTCCTAGAAAATAGTTTTATGAAAGTCATTAAGAGATAGCTGAAAATTCCAACAAAGGTCTTTCATTAACCAGGACCCAGTTCTTCCCAAAATTATAAAAAATGAATTCCTAAAGTAAATCTTAAATTGTTTTACCCTGTTTAGCCATGCTGTGTTTTAGAACAATGGTTCTCAACATTTTTTATACCAGGACCCATTTGTAAACATCAGTGGCCAGTCCTGACCCAGTGCCCCTCACTCCCAACCCACTGCCTCCCACCCCCCAGGCCCCAGCCCCACAGTGTGGGGGGCAGGAAGTGGGTTTGGAGGGCATGGAGGCCCCCAAGCAAAGCACCTCACAGGCTGGAACTCTGACGGCCTGCAAGGGAAAAGCCCTGTTTCCCACATTTTTCTCCTTTAAAGGAGAATCTATTTTTAAAAGTTTGTTCGTGACCGTTTCATATTGTCTTGCAAGCCACTTTTAGGTCATGACCCACAGGTTGAGAAACTCTGTTTCAGAAGACTTCAAAACTTAGAGAGATGGCCTATTCTTGTATTCCTTGTGCACAAGATACTTTATTCTAACTCCAATGTGAGTTCTGTGATCATAAGGAATACAAAAATCTCATGAAGAAATTCATATGAATGAATCTGGTGACTTAACTACCTAGACCAGCAATTCTCAATCAGGGTTTTGCATCACCCTGGGTACTTTGAGATCCTTTCAACGGTGCCCTATGGTGCTACACAATGTTCACTGTTTGGCATGCAAACACAATTCACAAGGTAAACCCAATTTTTCACATAGGGATCCATAATGTTAAAAACGTTTTGACCTGTTGTGTCTCAGTTTTTTGCAACAGAAGAGTTTCTCTATTATTTTTCTGTATTCAAAAAACAGATGAAAACTCTGAGCTAATATTTTTTGAGGGATGCCTTAGTCTAAAATGGTTGAGAACCACTAACCTACACATTTACATTGCACTAGTCACTCCACTATATAGTACCAACTCCAAATTGAATTTTTAAACACACAGCAAAACACCTAATTCTGTTTTGATATATAATTTTCACTGGTATTTTGGCACAAATATGTACTCTAGACACTTCTGTTTCACTTAAGAGTGCCCAAAGTAGTCGTTTGTTTGTTTGTTTTAAATCTCATTAGACAAATTGAAATACAGCGCTTATTTATTATTTTCAGTTTTATTTGTGTATGCATCTCTAAAACCCTGCATTGAATGGTTAAAGAAGTGCTTCAAAGCTCACATCAGAAGAATAAAAGCATATGGAATGTCACTGGTTTTGCTTTGCTTACCAAGACAACTATGTCTTTCATATGCTCAAACTCCTCTGGGTGAAGGAAAGCTGTGAACTCCTCACGTGTGGCAGCTGAGTCTCCATCCAGGTCTGCAGTTTTGAATCGCCTCTCATCCCTGGGAAGCATTTTTTTAAAATTGTGTTGATCAGTCGCATCTTGAAATTCTTCTGGATTTTCTAGAGATTAATCAGAGAATCTCAAAACCATGCATCTTTACTGATACATTATCTCTGTGTTTAGACTCACAGCCTGATCTATCGGTTATCTTTTCACTACGTTATCATCATGCGAGAGACTGAGTTGCTAGAATATACTAAAAACTTGTATATACCTATATTAAAGGCTCCTTGTTGCTACAGCAGCTACATTGTTACTATGGGAGACTTTGAGATTCTAGTTGTAAATTGAAGATCAGAGGCCAGCCGTTAACATGTTTTTGCAATGTACCGGGGTTCTACCTTAAGAATGACAAGCCTAATTTAGTTTACTTCAAAACTGCTGCTCCCAAGTTTTAGGAGTACATTCTTTCCTCTCCCCTATTTCTCTCCTTATTAATCTGTTCATCCACTCTAGGTGCAACTTTTCATTTCAGAAAACAGTATGAAAGAGAGAATAAAGTGCAATGAGGCATCTTCTGGAGCAAGTACAGTACTTGTGATATACAGGTGGGTAAATAGTGTCTACCATAATTGAAATAAAAGACTTTTCCTTAAGGTGCTCAAACAATGTACATTTCAAGTCATTTTGTTCAGTTATTTTATTTAGATACAAATATTGCTCTGTAGGTCGATACAGTTGAAAGGTCATGTGTCCCATCCCTGTCTGTCTCCCCCACCACAACCCCTCCACCTTACAGGACGGACTGTTTGGTGTTTTCCTATCTTCTGACATATTTTCTGTTCTGAATCTTCAGCAACTAGACTATCACCTTTTGAGAAAGATTACTTTGTTTAGCAAAATGACCCTGTTTTTGTAGTGTAGCTATATTTGCTTCTTCCTGCACAAACTATGACTTTATATTTCTAAGGCTTGAGCCAGCATATGCTGGGATTGATCACAGAATCATAGGGCTGGAAGGGATCCCAGAGGATCATTGGGTCCAGCCCCCTGCATAAGCAGGAAAGACATCTGGGGTCAGACATCAGCAACCAGGTGATCGTCCAGTCTTCTCTTGAAGACCTCTAGGGTAGATGATTGCACCACCTCCAGGGGGAACTTGTTCCATAGTCTGCACACCTTAATTGTAAAGAACTTTTCCCTATCGTTCAGCCTGAAACTATCTTCCAGGAGTTTGTGGCTGTTGTTTCAAGTTTTCCCCTTCTCAACTTTTCAGGTATATGCCTCTGATATAATGGTAAGCTGCAATCAGGTTCCCTCTCAGCCTTTTCTTTAGGCTGAAGAGTCCGAGATCCCTCAGCCTCTCCTTGTATGCCTTGCCATGCAAGTCCCTAATCATACGGGTGGCCCTTCTCTGGATCCTCTCGAGTTTTAGCATGTCCTTGTTGAAGTGCAGTGCCCAGAACTGGACACAATACTCCAGCTGCAGCCGCACCAATGTTGAATAAAGCGGGAGAATCACTTCTTTGGTTTTACTGGAGATGCATCAATTGATGCATGCCAGAGTTTTATTGGCCCTAGTGGCTACTGCATCGCATCGCCAGCTCACATTCATGCTGGGGTTTATTGTTACCCCCAGATCCCTTTCATTTGTAGTGCTGGTCAGGTTAGCAATGCCAAGCCTGTAGGTGTGCTGGGGGTTCTTCCTTCCCAGATGCAACACATTGCATTTCTCTGTGTTGAACCTCATCTGGTTCCGTTCTGCCCAACATGCCAGCCTGTCTAAGGCTGCAGATACAAGCAGACCATCTGAGGGTGTGTCTGCACAACCCCATATCTTGGTGTGATCCTTGAACTTGGCCAATGGGCTTTTCACCCCCTCATCCAGGTTGCTGATGAAGATATTGAACACCTGGGGTACACCACTGACCACATCTCACCAGGACAACATTTGGTCATTTGGTTTGGTAGCTTTCATCACTGAGTCGTTATCTCTTAAGTCTGAGGCAGGTAAAAATCCTACAGCAAGTTCTGTGAACACATTTTACATGGGATTTGATGAAGTTTTCCAGTAAAGGGAACTAGCTTCTGTTTAGTATACACTTTAGAGAAAAATCATTTAAGTCTGGGCCAAGCAGCTTCTGGATTATGCTAAATATAAATTTTTCTTGGTGAGTGCAATATAAATGTCTAATTAAAATAAATTATTTTGGTCTGTAAAAATTCCCTAGTGTCAATTCCTACATCCTTAATGATTAGCCAAATCTCCCTTCTGTTCTTACTTCCAGCTCCTCCACTATTTTTTTGTTAGTGTATCTGCTTGAGCTGACAGTTTCTAGTTTTTGGGTTCATTCCATCCATTTGTTTTCAGACAATAAGTCTAGTGGAACTCTCTTGATTTGGGGAATAGCTTGTTCTGCATTACTGCAGACAGCTGGACTAAATGACCCTTAAGATCTCGGCCAACCTTGTGACTGAACAACTGCTTCTTCCTGACAAAATGGCTGTTGAGTTGAGAAGGAGTTTGAAAGCTTATCTTTTCTACCCCTAATTTTGCTCTCATTCAAATGTGGAGTTCAATAAAGCCCTGAAAAATTAAGTAAAACATTTTCACCAGAATTTCTGTTGCTTTCTATTTAAGTTTCCACCAGAAACACAGAAAGCTTTCACCAGAAACTTCTGTGTCTCGCATAAGGCACAGAAATCTCCTAAATCAGATCCAGCCAGGGCGATAGTTTGGTTCCCTCCTCTCACCTTTCCTTCTATATGAGATGGAGCAAAACCTGTAAATCTTAAGTTCTCACACTAAAATATTTGGTGAATTAAGTTTAATGTGATGCTCCTATATTTGGTGCACCTTGTTAGTGTTGAGTAAATTATTGTGCTCATTTTCACTGATCATAGCAGTTTCTCTTATTTATTCCTCTCTTATTCCATTTCAATCACTGTTTTTCAGTTTGCATCAAACAACCTTCCCTCCAAATTTCATAGGGATTTTAGTTGACTGTAGCATGCACCTGAGGCAGTCATGCTAACATGACAGATGGAGCCACTACAAACCATCACAATACTCTGGAGATTATATGTAGGTGTATTCAAGTAAAAGGCTTTTCCCAGAGTCAAAAGGAAGTAGCAAAGTTCTGCTTTATACCCACAAAAGCCAAGAAATTCAATGCCAGTATCCTTACATTTCCCTCTTGTACCTAGATCCTGACATGTCACGTCTCTGTGGGTGCTGCAATATCTAGGTTAAAAAGAATGGATGAAAAGTAAAGCTCCAAGATTCATTCTAATTTAAGGCGTACGTCAGATACTCTGGATAAAATCTCTGTGCCACTGGAGTACATGGCTGCACTGAAGTTAGGATTTTACCTCTTAGCTTCATTTTAAAAAGGTGTTTTTGCTTAGTAAAATAACCTGTGGTCTCCCCACTCAAGTACAGTACGATGGGTTCTGTAATATGTAGTACTGTATTAATATTGGAGAAAAAACCATTTTTTAAAAACTGTTCACTGCCTACATAGCATTTGGATTGGGTTTCATTTTTTACAAAGAATCTGTTTGATACAAACTGCTCATTTTGTCAAGTTTAGACAACAAACAGAGCTTTGACAACAGCAACTGGCAAACTAGGTGATATTATCCACCAGTTACAAGTCTGTTGGGTAGAACCTAAACATTATTTTTCAGTTAAAAGTGAGAAATATTCCAGGGTGTTCAGTAGCATGAAATTAATGTGTATTCCATTAAAAAAACAGCCTTATCACTAAACTGATTAAAAACTTGAGAAATATTCATGGTGAAACAATTTCAAAATTAAGACATCAAAAGACTCATCTGATTATAAGACAACTACTGTGGGAAACAGTTTTGTTTAATTGTAAGTGTTCACTGAAATGAGATTAAGACTGTGCTCTTCACAGTTTGAGACTAGTATTGTGTGCATCTACAGGACTGAAAGGGAATTCATGGGACACTGCTTGCATTCACCTGCTATCCCAGGTAACCATGTCGTGTAATTCCTTTCACAAATTTATCAGTATCTATCTTAAAACTAGGTAGGTTTTTCACATCACTACTTTTCTAGGAAAGCCATTCCAGAGCCTCACTGCTCTGATAAGCAACCTTTTAAATTTTGCCTTTGAAATTTATCCATGGCCTGTTTATACCCCTTGCTCTTGTGCCAGCACTGTCTTTTAGCTTAAATAATTAGTTTGTCTCCTGGGGTTTACCCTCCTGATGTTTTCATAGAGAGCAGTCATATGCCATATCAGCCCTCATTTTGCTAGCCTAAATAAATCAAACTCTTTCAGACAGGCTCTCCAATCCTCTCATTGTCATACTATTATTCTTTGCACTTGTTCCAGTTTGAATGCATCTTTCATGAACACAGGGCATATCTACATGTGCATTAATGTGCCTTTGCTACTGAGCATTAAGTTTAGTACTTCTAATGAGGTACTACATAAAGGCACATTAGCCCATGCTAATGCGCAGTAGGCAAAGGCAAACTTTTTTTTTTTTTTTATGATGCTTAATGCACAGTACACTCATTCTACTGAGCATTAGTGCATTAGTTGAGTTTTTGCTGTGACATACTAATGCGCAGTAGTATAAGCTACTGCGCATTACAGTGTCTCATAGAGAGGTGCCCACAGAATACCAGAAGCGTCCATGATGTTCCAGATGATGTCAAACCACTGTCTTATACAATAGCATTAATACTTCCATATCTGTATTAAAGCTTTTCTAAAGATGCAGCATATGGTGCTCTCTCTCAGATATTCCACACACGCCCTGAAAATGGAACTAAAGGGGTATGAAATACTTAGGTTGATCCTCAGCATAGACACGAATTTCACCCAGAGTCATAAAGAACAATATGATATAGCCTTTGAAGTTATAGAAATGATTGTGCCAGAAAAAGTACTTATGTTCTTATATCCTGGGATCAATAATTTCTATTAAGTTGCTTTAGTGAGCACAGTGCCTTTTTTTCTCTTTACTAAATCCAGTCTACCTTATTTCAATATCCTCCAGCAACTCTGCTTTGGCACCCGAATATTTATATTCTATACGGTGACAAGACATACAGGATAATAGTCTAGTTACATCCCATTTAAAACTTTCTACCAGGGAGAAGAAATATTCTTTGTGCATATTTTTTAAAAAGTCCTATGCCATTTTCAGTTAAAAAATAAATGTAGAAGCTTGACTTTAGAGAGCGAGTTTAATAGTTATGAACTGGGCTGATAGTTCTGGTGTCTGTGAATCAACAATAGCATCACAGATACATGGCAGCCATGTATGCCTTAGAGTCCACATCTAAGAAAGAGAAGTTAAGTGTTCATTTAGGGCATAGCTTCAATGAGTTTTGAACTGGACCGTTACTTCATGCTATTGAACATGCCTTACTGCTGAAAATGTGCAAAGGGGTGCCAATTGCAGTGGCAGACCAACTCCGTGCTGGGTCAGACCAATGGTCCATCTAGGCCAGCATTTTATCTCCGACAGTGGCAGAAGTGGATGCTACAAAGGGAAAGCATTAAGCTGGATCTCTAAAATAATCTATCCGCTATTTAATACATTTCCTCTGGCATCTCTAAACCAGTAATGGTGGATGCCAGGAGAAACATCTCCAACCATTGTATTCAACAGCCATTAATAGATCTATCAGTCATGAACTTATCTAGTCCTTTTTTGAACTTGGCTATAGTATCCACTTTCCACCACTATGGTAATAAATTCCACAAGTTATCTATGTGTTGTGTAAAAAAGTACTTTTTCTTATTAGTTTTAAACCTGTCCCCTACTAATTCCAGCGGGTGACCCACTAACATGCTGCATGCTCTGTGAGTGAAATGCACTAATATTTAATTGTTCAAATGTGGCCATATTCAGCACCTCAATTACACTTCCTACAGAAATAAGCCATAGCTTTCAAATATAGTAAAAAAATAAATGTTTCCTTAGATCTGGCCATTTAAGAGTTGAACATTTAGAATAGATCATGATCTGCAGTAATTCTGACAAAATAATTCCTTGCTACTTTAATCAACAATTGCATTATAATTTAGACAGTATCCAGCTCTAAAAATTCACAAACAACTGATTAAATGCATATTTTGTTGTGTTGTTATACACTACTGCATCACCCTTCTCTGAATAGTAAAAGCAGAGACTTTTACCTCAGCTGCACTATTTAAGCCCTCTCCCTGAAGACTTAAGAGTTCAGAAGCTAACACTTAAGGCCAGATCCTATTCCAGCTAGTAGTCAAAGTGGGCCTAGATGTCTAAATGTGAGGCTGTTCTATCCTGCTCAAATGCTTGAAAAAACATTAGTGAAAAAGGTGAGCGACTGCATTTTGTGACTTAGTTTTAAAACTAAGATGATGGAGTGTTACAAAGTAAGAACATTAACAGCTTTTCAAAGACTCAAACAAGGTGGAATAGGGCTGCATTTAGGTGCCTATGTCCTCTAACAGTGAAACAGGATCCAGCCCCTCATGTAGATGATTCCATTATTCAAATGAGCAGGTAAGTGACTCTTGATCCCTGCACTATAGTATCTTTCAATTTAGCATGAGAGAGGTATGTGAAAAGGTCCCAAAGGTGTGCCCCACTCCTGTTGATTCTGAATGAGAACATCATACCTAACTCCCTTGATGCTTTAGCTTGACAATTATAGCCTGAAAAACTGTTTTGGAGAATCTTACCTAGATAATAACCATATGTAGCTTGTTTGTATTCTTCCCAGGAAATTTTATTATCTTTGTTCAGGTCGTAATCTTTCCAGACTTTCGCTACATTTTCATAGATGTAGCGTTTCTGCACTCGTTTAATCCAGTTTTTCAACTCCTCTGGTGTGACATAACCATCTTTGTCATCATCTATTCTATCAACAATTTTCCTGCAAGAGAGAGAGAAACCATGGATAGCTGGGCAAGGAAATGAAATGTGTGTTCCAGTCCAGTTCTGTTATACGGCACAGGAGCCTAACTGTGTCTTTCCTTAGCCAGCAGAGGCAAAATGGCCAGTGCTTCAGAGACATACCCCACTGCTACAACAATATTGTATTTACAGAACATGCTAAAAAACATTAGGTAGTACATTATTAAATATTGCCATAAATAATTATAACTGAGTTATTATGATAAAAAAGCAAATCAATTGACAAAGTCCACGAAAGGATGTATTCTTGATATTTTTACAAACATGCATACAAGCACACATGTATATATATGTGTACATATCCATGTATAAATCAAGAATGCATCCTTTATTACACACACTGTCTTATCTTACTTGGAAGGAAAATCTTCTTTTAGGACCTGGAAAGACTGGCCATACTGGGCTCTGAGCAGATGAGCATGGAGAACAGTTCTTTATCCCAAGACGCAGGAAGGCTATAGTGTTGCTAGACTAGGCTTCCCACAGCCAAAAGCCTGGGAACTTTATAGTCCCTGCTGTGGTCTTTCTATGAAGCCAGCATTAAGGCAGGATGATCTATGCAGGGCCCTATAGAATGCACAGTATCTACACTCCCTACACAGCCTTCACCCTACCTTCCCCAAAATGCACTGCTCATGTTGCTAGCAGTCCCTACGTAGGCCTTTATTCACTAATTCACCATACCAAGCCTCCATCAGTAGACCTCCAGTCACTAACGCTAATTAAGACTCAAGCCAACCTCTGGAGGCTGAGAGCCCTCTAATTTCTGATTAAGTCAACAACACTGAAAACGCTCAGAGGCTCTTGGGGAGTATCCCCTTCTTAAAAACATGTCCTAAGCAAAGCTCTAACATGCTCAAATCTAAACTCTCAACCTATGTAACAAGAATAATCTCTTGAGAACTGAGGCTCTCCAAAATCATTGTTCTACAAGTTATTTTCTCCTTAGAGCCAAAAAAAGAAGACTCAAAGAAGATGAAGTGTTGACTTATCAACTCAGTAGTACAATGATGAGCTGAGTTTTCTTTAGGCTTTCTTATACATTTTGCTCTACTGCATGCTTGCCAATGCACCACTATAACCACGGTGGGAAGGAGCAGCTTTATGTTATAGAAGAAAGGGCATAAAAGACAGTACTTATATTTAAATCTCTCTCCATTATACCCAGCAGTGTAACAAAATTCCTATTTATACCTGCAAGGAAAACATAACTTGGAGGCACAAGTGATATTTTTGTATCATAACGTATGGCATCTCTTAAAAGTCCATTTTTGATGCACTGTTATTTTTTGTGCTTAACAGGTACCTTGTTGATTTTATTGGTTCAGCCTTTATCTATAGAAAAACATATAAACTACATTTATTCTAAAGATAAAATTTAATCTTTCCTTTAAAACAGAAACATTTCCATGTGTTAAATTTGTTCCATAGTCAACAGTGTTTTTAGAATCACCCTGCACTGTCTGTACCCCAAATATTGCAGTCTTTTGCCAGCATGTGCGAACTTAAGTGTTACGATGATGCTTACATTTTCACATTCCAAGCTGGGAAAAATACAAAATTATAATTAGTTCCAAAGTAATGAGTGTCAAGAACAATAGTGAAGTATTTCCTTTTTCAAATCTGCTTTTTAGTGTCCTTTAATTATTCAAAGAAGGAGCCCACAACATCAAATTCTGCCCTCCAATTTTACTGATAAGAATGGAAATTGTGTGCACCCTGCAGTATAAGTAGCCCAGTACTGAAGGGATCTCCTCTGCTATCACAGCACATGCATCACATAATCCCTTTTTTAAACTAATCAAGCTCCATTGTAAGAGTAGCTGGGGTTTTGACTCCCCACTTCTGTATTATAAAGCTGCTTCAGAAACTTCCCATTCTGCTGCTTAGAAAGCTTCTAATTTTAAGCCTCTATTATTCATGGCCAGTTTACACACACGTGTTCTTGTGCCAGCATTGTCCTCCAGCTCTAGTGAATCTTATCCAACAGCAAAAGAAATGTGCTCCAAGTCTTGACTCAGTGGCTAGAGACAGACGTCGCCAAATGAAGTAGATCAGCTGTCCTGGGGTGTGTTCCAGCACAGGTGATCCGCTTCACTGGGTGAAGTGCACATCACCCATTATCCTGCCCACTGATCTTGCAGGACAACAGACGACAAGGTCCCTGCGTGCAGAGATGTGCCCAGAAAACTTGGAGGTACCTCTCTGGAAGCAGGGAAAAGCCAAAATGCTCCAGTAAGTTCACTGGGCAGGGGCCATCAATCAGCTGATTGGTGATCTCAACCCTGGAACTGAACCAGAGTGAATCTGACACTCCGGTGCAGTTCCAGGACTGGATCAACCAATCCCATTTGTGGTCCCAGTCCCAGAACCACACCAATGTTCCAGCTTTCCTTGCTTCTATAGACATGCCCCTGGAATCTCCCCAGTTTGCTGCATTTGAATCAATTCTCAAGTTGCTCGTATACACCAGTTAGAACATACCAGCTGCTGCCCTTTTGAAACATTCCCCTTTTGAAAGGCTACATGCATTCATGTGTCCACAGAATTCAGTATACTGCTTTTAATCTCAAAGGAAGATATTATTCCTAACTAAACAGCATGTTTGCTCCTCAGAATCCTTCTTCAGGCATCCAACTGGATGAGCCACAAGTGGAAGCCTGCCTTATAGCTTCTAATGGCTAAAGGAGAGTGCATTATTTCTATAAGGAAAAAGAGGTGAGTATACCCCTTTAACTGCTCCTACTACCTTGATGACCCACAAAGTCACATAACTAAAGACACCTCCCCACCCCTGCTGACCCCAGCCACTGGGAATTGTTCTCCTGCTAACCACTGTTACTGGAACAGAAGAGAAAAGTACACTGGAACTGACTGGTAAACCTTTTCTTTTTTTTTTTTTTTTAAATCAGGAATCTGCCCTACAGTCTTTTCTGCCCAATGGGCATGTTCATCAGTGAATTTACCCCATGGCAAATATGACTTTATTGATTTGATTGACATCTGTATCTATTGTTAAATGCAATAAGTAACTGATATGATTCTACCAGAGGCCTCCCTGCTATTTTTAACACTTGCTTAATACCCCCAGAAATCAATGGGGCTAAGAAGCTGTGCTGCTTGGAGACTGCATTCCACTTGCATTTTTTTGCAGCTCAACTGCATCTCTTTTGTGATGTACGCATCACCTGTTTGCTTCCCACTGAAATAATTCTTGTGTTTTTGCCAACACCTTTATCCAAATGTTGTAAATACCTATTTATTTACATGCAAATGCATACTAGCAGTGAGGGCTTTGCAGTAGAACAAAAAGTAACTTTTTAATCAGAGGAGTCTTGTTGCTCCCATTTAAAAGTGACTAATTCTTTAACACAGCAGAAATTCAAAGACAGCATTCCACAGACACAGGGCTAGAACCAAAATATAGGCAATAAACATTAAGCTACTTCCAAAAGTCATGAAACCAACTGGTAAATAAATTGCTTTTCCTCAAAGTTCTATCAGCTGGGATGAGGGGGAATCCTGCCCCCAGCTCCTGAACCGTCACACCAGGGCAATGTCTCTGCACAATGACAGAGAAACTGAGGGGACATGCAGGTCCTGCAACCTACAGGTAAAACGCCTAGCTCTGAATATATTCCCTATGTGCCAGCACAGACAGGAATTTGAAGAGCAACATAGATGGGAGGACTAAAAGCAACAATATAAGCTGAAAGGAAGATACCTCCTCAACACAAAGCTGTTTTGGATGGCTGCCCAGCCCGGGGCTCACTGCTAGCTGCCCCACCAGCAGATGGGGCCAGGGCTGGGACCTGTCCCTCCCCTGCAGCTCTTTCCAAGCCCCTGGCCCCATATCAGGGAGTGCCCTGCCGCCTGGGCAGGGGGACATTGTCCCCACTTAGGCTTTGTCACCGGAGCCCACCCAGCAGCAGGAAGCTCCAGGGGGCCGAAAGCAATCTCCCAGCCCTGGCCAGGAAATAGCTATCTCCTGGCCCCCTGCTCCTAGAGCTCCCGCTGGCTGCTGCAGGGAGCCAGTGCAGGGCCAGAGGGGACAGGAGCAGACTGCTGCTAGGAGCAGCAAATCTGTCCCCAACTCCCCACACATGTAGACACCTGCCCAGGGTAGGTTTACTCTAAAGTACTCTAGAGTAAACCCACCCCAGAGCATTTGCACATGTAGACATGTCCCTTGTGTCCTATTTGAGTATATTATTTACTGGGCCATCAGCTTCATACATGTATGAATGCATCTTCACCTCCTTTCTTTAAGGCGCAGAGTGCACACTGAAATAATTAAAGATTAGGTTTCAACTTTTGCTGATTTCGAAGGTTACAGACAAGTATTTCACACCATTTCTACATAATAACTCTCCTGGTTCATCCCAAGCAAAAATTAGTATGGGATTATCTACTACAAAGTGATACTGCTTATATTAGAACACCCATATAATACAGAATACAAGTACAACCACATCCCTAAGGCAGATCCAGGGATGTTGAAGTGGTGCTGTCACAATCCCATTCCACTTCATAGCACAGTAAGTTCTCTGGAAGATGTACCAGCAGCTCTACCTCCCTGTAGACCTGGATACCTGGGTCCCTTGCAGAGTCCAGGCAGCAAGAAGATGGAGATGAGGCATTGCTAGAGCCTCCACACCAGCAGGTGACACTTGCAGGGCCAGGCAGGGAACAGGCACTGGAAGGGGGAACCTGCCTGCTGTCACCTCTGTCCCAGGCTGATGTCAGGGCAGGAGGAACACCAAGACCACTCCTGCCCTACTCTAGCCAGAGGGCACAGGGAGAGTTTGTGGGGGTCCCAGGCTCAGCCAGGGTCTATAATGAATGGGTGGCTATAATGAATGGGTTCCCCTTTTCTGTGCCTGCTCTTTCCCCGTGCCTCACCTCCACTGCCCCTATAGTTTGATCTCAGTTCCTACTCCCCAGACTCCAGAGGGGACCCAGGCATCTGGGTTCATAGGGACTGGAGCTGTTGACACAGCTTCCATCTCCACATGAGCACCATGCTAGAGCACCTGCTGGAACAGCTCAAGCCAGAGGTGGCCTTGGTACAGATCAAGGTGAGTGGGGAGGCACTGAGAACCAGGGGTTTTGCAATAATGGCAGGTGCCATTTGCATCTCCCATACCCTCCTTTTCAAAATCCTAGATCTACCTGTGACTGCATTCACACTAGTGCTTGGACTAATACAACTCCTTCATTCAGATTTGTAAGCTCAGCAAAAATAATGGGGGAGAATGAAGTCTTCCACCCATATGGTTTCTATAGTCTTGTGTTTGCCAAGTTCTTAGCTGCAACTCCTTAGTTTGTATCTATAGTACCTGTGATTCCAAGCTGGTTTCCTATCCAAATCTGGGCCTAGTAGATAGGCCTAGACTAATTAGCCTCTGGTATACCTGTAAAGTCACACCTTCGGTGATATAACTTTCAAGGGTAGACCTGGTCTAAAAGAAAATTCAGTGTTAGCTAAGTAAACCCAAAATGTTAATATAGCACATATGAATGAGACACATGGGTTGTCTGAAGCACTGATTTTGTTTTGCTCTTGATCACAGAAAAATTTGGGTAAGTTGTCTATTTATGAAAACTCATAAATATTTTGTTAGAGCATCTGTTATTACTTACTGTTGCATGTATCTCAGTCTCACCAAAAGCCCTCCAAAGCACTAGGAACTCATTATACTAGACAAAGTACAAAACAACACAGTCCTTACTTCAAGGAGGCTGCACTCTCATGTGAAACAAGGTCCAATGAGTATAACAAATAGCAGGAGAAAGGGAGGTCCAGATTAGTTATCCTGTGGAAGCTGTGATTTCATTATTCACACCCTGATGGTTCAAAAACATCAGAGCATGTGTTCCTTTTGGATAAAGCAGTGATGACCCAAGCATAGGTAATAGGATGGAAAAATGTAAGGACAGGCTGCAGGAGAGGTAGACCAATGAAAAAGAGGGGGTGTGACACAGTAAGCGATGAAGGGGCAAACAGGGGGAACTGTTAAGGGTACTAAAAATGGGAACGTGCTCGGTGCTGTAGCAAAGGCAGGGTGAGTGAAGTGACTGCCCTGGGCACCAAAGCAAAGGGATGCCAATAGGCACTACCCAGCTGGGGCTGGGCCTGCCGTCTGCTCATTTGTGGGGGCATGGGGACAGGGCAAGGGCAGCTCCTGCTGCTGCATGCATTCCCAGGCAAGCTTGAGGGGATATGTGCCCCCCGGATCTGTGCATGGGGAAAGGGCAGGCTACCACCGTGGACTGTGCCCCAGGCGCCAAACTTAGTTGTATGGTATGAACAAGCTTCATGTGGGCAGAGGGAGGAGTAGTTTGAGGGGGTAGTAACCCAAAGAGATAGAACAGGAGTGAGCAGAACCAGGGCAGCTGCAGCAGCAGTACCCACAGGTGAGCAGGAAGGCATGTTTGAAGGGCTCCACCCAACACCGGGCACTGTGCTGTATGAAGCGATCTTCAGTTGCCAACCTTCAGCTCCAACCCAGCAGCAGTGAGAGAGAAAGATCATGCAAGCGTTTAGAGCTGCGTGAGGAGGATGGTTTTCCAGTGTCACTGTGTGCTGCTCCAGCTGCCCAGGCAGCTTTTTCCAGAAGTCCCCTGGCAGCACTGGGAGGCAACTTGCCCCATGGCTCAACTGGGAGCCAGCAAAGCCTTCCCCATGCCTGCCAATGATCAGGAATGTGCAAGGTCTGCACAGGGCCCTCTGTGCCGTGGCAGCCCCTCACCCAGGCCTCCAGCAAAGCAACAGGCTTCAGAGAGCAAGAGAAAGGGCGGCTCAAACCAAGCGTCCTGCCCACTTCTCCATTGAAGCCTTCCCTTTTTTCTTCCACTGTACACTGAGGCAGTGGGACCTCCCTCTGCCACGTTATCAGCTGGGGGGGAGGGGGTGGTACTCCTCCTCCTCCTCCTCCTCCTCCCTGAGGAGTCCCAGAGTCTGAGGCTCCCACCTAGGGACAAGCCCAACTTTGCCTTACAACGCCCTGTTGCACCAGACTCTTTGGGGTAGATGCAGCATCCTTTATTAGACCAACTAAGTGGAGCAGCGGAGTGGAGTGGAGTGGAGTGGAGCAGTGGTGTGGAGCAATTGTTGCCAGCCAAATCGTTGGCAAAAATTGCTCTTTGCAAGGGGCACAAACACTCTTCTTCAGGCATAGGGAGAGTCTTGCAAAGAGCAATTTTCCCAGGCATTTAGTTGGGCTAATGAAAGATACCGCACCTACCCAAAGAAACTTGTCTGCCTTGTAGATGATCCCGGGCCGCAATCAACCCCCAGGGAAAGCGCGGCGGTTTCCTCCCCTCCCCTCCCCTCCGTCCTGCAGAAACAGCTCGGCCCAGCCCGCATCCTGCCCCTCTCACCCCAGCTTCTCCTTGCTCTCCTCCGGCGTGAGCTGGTCAAACGTCTTGGCTTCCTCCTTGCCCAGGAAGGCCTCGTGGTCGTACTGGAAGCTCTGGTTGTCCTCGTGCGGCCGCTCGCCCAGCTCGGGCTCGGGGTGCACGACCCGGTCCTTCCTGAAGGTGGGTTTGCCCCGCGCCCCGCCGGCGCACAGCAGCACCAGCACCAGCACCAAGGCGCCGCCGCCGGGCCGGCCGCCCATGCTGCCCCTCGGAGCGCGGGACGCCG